ACCACCTTCTTCTTCTTCAAACACACCTCCAAAACACTCCTATGGGCTAAAAAAATGGACTCTTCTTACTTGGGGTTGCTTGAAGACGATTTTCACAGAGGGAGGCTACTGAGGATATGAGGCATGAAGTTATAATGGTGTTCATATATGGCCAAAACCCTAAAAATCAGGGTTTGGACATTCTGCGCGTACGTACTGTGTACGAGATGTACGCCCAACGTACTAGGGTCCGCCCTAGTACGCTCAGCGTACACATCGTACGCCTAACGTACTAACCTCAAGTCCAAAAATTACCACAATGCCACTATAGGCCAATCTTGTAATCTTTTCAACTTTAGGGGGGTCAAAATGTAATATTATTCAAATATAGGGTCAAAATTATAAGTACCTTATCATTGGGATGTTACAAGAGTGAATGCAGGTATTAAGTTAATGGGGCTTAACTTGAGTTCACTATGGAACGTGTCACTTGACTTTTTCCTACATGTTTGTATATGGATGGCGCCAATGATGCTACGTCGTCTTCCAGATACTTAGTAGCTAGATATAAAATGATCATCCTTTAGTAAGCAATCTAGAAGATACGTTGCAAAGATGGACACCACTAGGTTAGAAAGTGATATCGAGGGATGGACCCAGTATTGCATTCTGATGCCTAAGATAGATGTCGGTTAGGAAGAGTAATACAATTGCTTAGGTTCTTGGAATGCTCTACCTCATTGATGTGCATTCAGAGTCCTTATATATATATATATATATATATATATATATATATATATATATATATATATATATATATATAAGTCAATCTGGGTTGTTGCTTATCCAATTGGGTATTATCTTTGTCTGAAGGTTGCAAGGGTAGAACCCTTCAATACAATAATAATAATTTTTTCCATGCTTTCCGAGGTGTTGCCTAAATCCATACGGACGACTTCTTTGCTATAGTTTATTGTTGCTCGGTATGCTTGACCGGTTTGCTTTGGTCACTAACTACCGGCATGTATTGAATTTAGGCTTGCTATTTAAGTCTGTCCTGTTTCTCGATGGTGTTGGCCCAGGTTTGTGTGTGGGTTGATCCTCATACATCATTAACCAGTAGCATCGGAGAAGAAATGAATGAGAGAGACCATCAATTCATGACAGGGGACGATCCCCTCTGGCGGTTTATCATAGGCGAAAGCTAGCATTTAGAAAGTGGGAGAGAATAAAAGTGATAAGTGTGATATTATATTTTCTGGTCAGATCTCAATGATAATCCAGTGAAGGAGACGGATCCAGTTGAGTACTGAGAAGAAATCACTTCTAATGAAGAGCTTATCACCTCTAGAAGTTGTTAAGGGTTGGTTTTATACGGTGTTTGTAATTACCGAAAATAGAAAACAGAAGACATATGAAGGTAATTTAGAGAGGGAGAGAGATGGTGTGGGTCTCATACTTTTATTTAATAAAACTTTAAGTTAAATAGAAAAAAATATTAAAAAATATCTGAAGGCCAAAATAGTCATTTCAAGTTGAGAATAGACCAAAGAGTTTCTAGCTCAGCGGTATCAGGTGTTACACTCTCTCTTTGAGGTCAGGGGTTCAAGTCTCTCTTTAGGAGTAGATTATATTTGTTGGTTAAAAAAAAGATTGAGAAGAAACCAAAATAAATACCAAATCCTCAAGTTTGAAATTTTTTAGACCTAATCAAAAGAAAATGGCAAACAAATTCAGTTTTGTCTTGTCTCTACAATTAAGCCGAAAAAGAAAGCAAAAAAAATTGACATCAAAACAAATATAAAGATTCGAGATGGTACTATAACAAGGAAGGTTCCTCGCTCCTTGGAATAGCTATTCCACAATGAGAGGGAAATCGGGATTATGGAATCGTTTTATCTCTATCCCTAGTCTCTCTCCTACTTTCAAAATTAAACTTGATCATCGTTATCATTTTTTCTTAAACTTCATCTGTATCCCTTTTTTCTCATCCTATTTATTTGTCTTCGCTGAAAAAACCTTTGTCATGTTTGTTTCTCTGAACTTTTCACACCACCAAGGAATCCAACATGAGAATCTTCAGAAAAATTATCGCTGCTGTTCTCCTCTTCTTCTTCCTCTTCAATGCACCATCCACGGCGGAAATCATATCTAAGAAGCTCCGATCCGATAACAGATCTACCATACTCTTCTCGGAGTTTGGATTCTCGCATACCGGTCACGTCTCCTTCGACATATCCTCCGTGTCCATCAACTCCAACTTATCAGAACCTGATCCTTCACGTATCGGTTTCTTCCTTCTCTCGTTTAAAGTGGAAGACGATTACCTCCAAGAATCCAGACAAAACCCTGAATTGTGCCCTTTGGATAACAACTTCATCTCACTCCTCTTTACTTTCCAAGATCATGTCTACCCTTATCCGCAATCTTCCTTCAACAAAACGTATCCAGTGTCATATCCCGGTGTACACGCCCTCTACTTCGCCAACTGCAACCACCAATCCTTGGTGACGATGGACGTCCGGACAGAGCTATACAACATTGATGTCGACGGCACTACCAAAAACTATTTACCTGTTGGGCTAACGCAGCTTCCATCTCTTTACTTCATCTTCTCCCTTCTTTACATGTGTTTTCTAGGGGTTTGGATCTTCGTATGCTTCAAGAACAAACTATGTTTTCGCAAGATTCATTTAGTAATGGGTGTGTTGCTTGCTGTGACTTTGATTCACGTAATGTCTGCCGCAACTGATCAACATTACCTCAAGGTTACAGGCATTCATGGATGGGATGTCTTGTTTTACATATTTCGGTTTATCAGAACTGTACTTTGCTTCACAGTGATCGTGCTGATAAGTGGCGGATGGTGTTTATGGAGTCCGTCTTTACAAGAAAGAGAAAAGGTTGTTTTGCTGGTTGTGTTCTTGTTTCAGGTTATAGCTAATGGATTTGTTATGTTGATAGGGGAAACGGGCTTTCGTAATGATGTTTCCCCTTATAATGAACACTGGTTGAATTGGAACATAGGTTTTGTTCATTTCGATTTCCTCACCTGCTTTGTTATTTTCGTTCCCATTTGTGGTTCGTATAGTTTGTTGAATGAGACTTGTGAGGTTGATGGGAATGCTGCTAAAAATTTGGCGAAATTGTTATCATTTACGAAGGCGGTTTCTGTATATCTTTTTATGAGGATAGTTGTTAACGGATTTGCTGACGATGTAGTTTACGAGTGGCCGTGGGTGATTAATGCGGGAGAGGAAATCGTCAGTCTTGTTTTCTGCATGGTGATGTTTTACATGTACAGGCCATTTGTTTCGGACGATGATGATGATGAAAAGTCTGCTGGATGAGGAGTATGGGGTTCGAAATTCCTAAGAGAAGATCTTTTCTTGTTCATACTACGTTTTTTTTTAGGTTTAATTTTCTGGAACAATTTGATATTCTTTTCTTCTTTTAAAAGGTCCAAAAGTTTTAGGTTTGTGTAGGTACGTTGATAGGTGTTTTCGTGAGTAATGAGCTACTATAGCTTTGGTATGTAGATAGTTTTGGATTTTTTTTCTAATAATTAGACTTGTTTTTCGGAACATGAAACCTACAGAAATCAAAGCCATCAAACCCAGACTTCATATTCCTTAAAGCATGGATAAAAGTTCTTTAAAAACAAATTTTTAATACCATGTATGACAAGTAAGGTGGGAGAAATCTTGGTTTTGATTGAAGATGGAGACGATTAATATCAAAGCTTGGTTTTAATATTAATTTCAAACCTAGAGGCCACACATTTTAAGATTAAGATGTTAAGGTTAAAGCTTGAAATGGTTTAAAGAATATTTTCAAACCCAAGACTTCACATATATATATATATATATATATATATATATATATATATATATATATATATATATATATATATATATATATATTAAAGTCTGGTTTTGATTAATTAAAGATTAAGACGGTAAAAGTTGTGGGCAAGGGCCGGGTGGGGGTGGGAATCTATATTTTAACTTTTTTAAATTAAAATTTAAAATATGTATAATATATTAAAGGAATTAGATATGTATTTGGTTTTAATTGTTTACTTTGTTAGATATGTTTTATGAATTCTTTTACATTTGGTTTTATGACATTTTAATTTTATTATATATTTTTTAATTATAATTGTTACTTTGGTTTTTATTGTTTACTGTGTTAGGTATATCAGCCAAAATATTGGGTATGTTATTGTTTATTTCTATTTTAATATTATGTTGGGTTTATCATTCAAGTATACAAATGTAAATATCTCATATTGACATGGTATATACATATATGCATAATAAAAATACATGGAAATTATTAGTTATATAGACATGCAATCTACATGAATATATACATACCAGATACACAAAAGGTTTTTCACCAACTCAAATTTTCGTATCTAAAAAAGATAAAACACTAGAATTGTATTCTACCATTCAGGGAGTTTGACACGAAAATAAAAGAGATTAGGTTGAATTTCTCTGACCCGACAACTGTTTATACAGATCATGTGCAGGTTTAAATAATTTCACGGAGGACTCCTGAACCCGTTTACTTTATTAAATAATATATATATATATATATATATATATATATATATATATATATATATAAAAGAATGTTTATTAAATAAAAGAGAAAGTAAGGGCTAATAAATAAATATGTGATATATAGACTTATTTCTAGTGACCCACCAACCCATATAATTAAATAGATTACACGTTAGGGTTGAGAAAGACGAAACAAATATTTATATAGATCAAATCCAGAAAGAATTTTCTGACACACCAAACAAATATTACATGATTATGATCCCTAATTCTACCATGTCTTTAGAGAAAGGGAAAAAAAGTAAGAAAACAAAAAATGAAAAGAAAATCTTATGAAGTTTGAAGAAAAAGCAAAGAAAACTTATTATATTACAACTACGTCATGGCTCAACGATATATGAAAAATAAAATGTAGGAAGCATATAAAAAAACCCAATCCACACAGTTGCATGCACATTAGCCATTGTTTACTTTGCTTTTGTCTAAAAATAAAATATGTTTGATGATATAACACCATAATGTGTGTACATAACATAACCAATTAAGCTAATTAATCTACCAACTACAATCAAACAATACAAGTTACATTTCACTTGTCAACTATTGCTGTTGCACTTAAAATTACAAAACCTACAATAATAATCAACACAATTAATCATACATTCTACACATACACTTTCAACACAACACCTACCATGGTTTCAAAGGTTCTACATATCACACTTTTCACATGTAACCATTGAGTCCCATTTTATATTATTGGTGTAGTAACCATTTGATGTAAAATAGTTGTTTGTTTTCTCATCTTAATTCTCCCTAACTGAACAAGATACACCACAGTAGTCCATACATGCTACACAACTTATTTGCCTTCACCAGATTTTCCAACTCGAGCCTTCCACACACCCTGCATTCACAAAAATTAATCAATATTCTTAAAATGGATATAGGGGTATTTTGGGAATATGAGAAAAGATAGATTGATTACAAGAGGTTCGTCGTCTGTGAATCCTGCCATGTCAGAATCATCATAAGTTGATGATTCTTTTCCATCTGGTGTTTGTACATCTGTTGACTCGCCACTTTCTTCTGAATCTGATCCATGTGTCTCACTAGGGGCAGAATCGTCATTTTTGGTTTCTTTCTGCACAGAACTAGGTTCGTTTTTATGAGAAGACATGGAATCATTTGAGCTGCTCTCTGCATCTCCTGTTGTTTGGTTCTCCTTGGATCTTGACTTTTCTAACTTGTCTGAATTCTCTGCACCTGCTGAACAAGTAAAGAAACATATATCACAAAAAGACCAAAATACCCTCATTGGCTCATTCCATATATACTCAAGAAACATGGAGGATTCGTGTTGTTATACCTTCAACTGCATCCAAATTGTCGATTTTAGAGGATATGATATCAGGCATGGATGCATCAGGATCTTTGCTTCTGCGAATTTCCAAATATGCACTTCTTTGTGATACTGATACCCCTTTTTGCCCTTGGTTTAAATTCTGTCTTGGGGTTCTTTTGCCTCTTACCATAGATGATGGTGATCTATCATTACAACAAACTTGGGTAAATAAATTTTATTAAAAAAAAATTAATCAAATTATGTAATATATCCTACTCACATGTCAGTAGTTGAATCCTTAGTTTGCTTGGAGCTACCCGATGACTTAAGTTTCTTAGATGTTCTGGAAAATAGAAATGGAAAGGTTAAAAGACTTGAGAGCATGTTGAAATCCTTAAATGTATGTTATTAACTAAAAATAAAATTAGTATTTGTTTTATTACAAGTTGAAATATGATATCATGAGTTGAAGGTTCAAATAGTGACTTACCCTTCTTTAGGGGGTGGACTATATGTCATGAGCTTCCTCTGTAAATGGGGTGAGTGAAACATCATCAGAAATCAATCGTAGTGTTTGGTAGAATGGAATCAGGGAAGGAATGGAATGGAATGAAAAATGTTGTTTCTTTTAGCTGATGGAATGGAATAGATTGTTTTTGAAGGAATGTGATTCCTTTCATTTTGTTACTTTTCATATGAAAAATCATTTCTTTTCTACAAGCCAACCAAACAAGATAATGGAATGTTATGATTCATTCCATTACCTTGTGCTTATTCCATTCCATTCATTCCATCATTCCATTCCATCCAACCAAACAAACAAGGAATCATACCTCTGCAAGTTTGTGCCCACTCTTAACAAGTTTCCACCGTTCCTTATCCAAACATAGCACTTCAATATCTCCATCATCATATAATACCTTCAACAAGATACAATTGTTAGATATGTTGTGAAAGCACACACATCAAACCATTTAAATCAACTATTTTGACCACAGATTAACAAGTCAAATGAGACAAATTAACTCAAAAACAAGGAATCTCACCACATGTTTGTTGTTTTCATGATCATAAGACTTCACTAAGCCCTCATAAAACCTGTAAATTATACTTTCATGCATTAATAACATTTCTTAAAGGAAAAAGTGATCACATTTTCATAAAACTTTTTATTAAAAATTGAAAAAGAAACTTACTCCTTGTCCATAGGCCACCAAACTTTGATGCGTCTTCCAATCAAGTCTTTGGTTTTAAATTCGGTTGCATCCGTAGTGCACTAAGAAGATACAAAAACAAAAATATATATATATATAATTAAAATTGAACTTATAGTGAAAAGAAATAAAGATAAATAGTAGATTAAAAAGCCATTCTAACCTTTACTAATCGTGAAACCCTTCTTCGTTTTCGCTTCCTGAGATTCCCAGATTTCTGAATATCCACAGGCGTTTTAGGCTTCTGCATAAGAGAAATAAAAAAATACAGGGTTCTCAAAACTCAAAAAGACGTAAATACCCTCCTCACCGAAAGTGAAAAAAGGTTACCTCCAAATCAGCTTCATCAGTAATCATGCCCTCTTCTTTATGTATCACACCTCTATCCAAACTAACTTTATCTTCTGAATCACTGTGTCCATCATCATCCTCATCATCATCATCATCATCATCCATTTTATTACCGAAAGTGGGCCCACCCTTCATTCCACTGGTTATAAAAGATGACCTTTTATGCCCTTTTGCAGAAGTTGTCGACCTCCTACGCTTGGGTACAGGGACATTGGTTAGATCATCAGGGATTCCTTTCCTTTTCAAATCTGCTTCTGTTTTAATTTCACCATGACCATTGCTTGAATCAAACTTTGTTGTTGATACAGATACAGATACAACCAAATTATCTGAATTTATTTCTCTCAACATTCCCATGATATCAACATTATTATTTTCAGTTTCAACAGTGGGTTTGGGTGTGGGTGTGGGTGTGGGTGTGGGTGTGGACCCGTTTTTCACTTCCTTTCTTGCCTTGGATCCTTTGGCTTTTAAACGTTTTAACACTTTTCCTAAAGGAATCTCGTTTCCATCTGTTTCACTATCCTTCATGATATCATCCTCATTGACTTTTGATGAAATCTGTTGAGAGATTTCAAGAATAATAGTAATAAGTACACAAATGTTACCATCTTTTAGTATGAAATTTTAAGCATTAGTAAACTTTACAACTTCTTGTGTAAATTTAATAACTTATAGCAAAAGAAAATTGGCAACATACTTTGAAATATCTATCCACTTATAGCATTGTACTCTCAAGTTTTTTGAAAAATCTATCCAAGTTGAAATTATTTTGTATTTGGATGATATTTTTGCTATAACTGGATGGATTTTTTTTAAAGTAGAATGCTATAATAAGAAAAAAAATTTAAAGTATGCTGCTGTAATAAACAGATGGATGAAACTACATTGCTATTTCTTGCATTTAATCCAAAAGAAAAAGGACATAAGAACATACATTGCCATTAGCTTCCAAGATAAAGGACTCAAAGTGTGCAAAAACACTCTCATCAGCCAACCATGTCCGACCTTCTGTCACCTGTTGACATCATTAAATAATACCAATTGAATTTCCTAATGCATATTGCATAACAAGGCTAACATATTTGTATAATTGTATGCATCAATATTTGCATATCAATCTGAAAAAATCAACATTTCCTCTTTTAAACTACAAAAATAGGGAAAATAATCATAGAAAGACTCCCCTCTGTGCTAACCTCTCCTTTTTTCTCATCATCTTTGTTCTCATCTTTACTATCTTCTTCTATCTTCTCATCTTCTTTTGTCTTATCTTCTTTGTTGATTTCTTCTTTCTTCTCGTCTTCTATTTTCTTATATTCTTTGTTATCTTCTTCTATCTTCTCATCTTCTTTATTCTCCTCTTTGTTAATTACTTCTTTTTTCTCATGTTTGCTACCTTCTTCCATCTTCTCATCTTCTTTATTCTCTTCTTCTTTGTTAATTACTTCTTCTTTTTTCTCATCTTTGCTATCTTCTTCCATTTTCTCATCTTCTTTGTTAATTGCTTCTTCTTTTTTCTCAAGTTTGCTACCTTCTTCCATCTTCTCATCTTCTTTTTTCTCTTCTTCTTTGTTAATTTCTTCTTCTTTTTTCTCATCTTTGCTATCTTCTTCCATTTTCTCGTCTTCTTTTTTCTCATCTTCTTTGTTAATAATTTCTTCTTCTTTTTTCTCATCTTTCTTATCATCTTCCATCTTCTCATCTTCTTTATTCTCTTCTTCTTTGTTAATTACTTCTTCTTTTTTCTCATCTTTGCTATCTTCTTCCATTTTCTCATCTTCTTTGTTAATTGCTTCTTCTTTTTTCTCAAGTTTGCTACCTTCTTCCATCTTCTCATCTTCTTTTTTCTCTTCTTCTTTGTTAATTTCTTCTTCTTTTTTCTCATCTTTGCTATCTTCTTCCATTTTCTCGTCTTCTTTTTTCTCATCTTCTTTGTTAATAATTTCTTCTTCTTTTTTCTCATCTTTCTTATCTTCTTCCATCTTCTCATCTTCTTTGCTAGTTTCCTCTTTTTTTTCATCTTCTTTATTAATTTCTTCTTCTTTTTTCTCCTCTTTGTTATCTACTTCAATCTTCTCATCTTCTTTATTCTCTTCTTTGTTACTTACCTCTTCTTTTGCCTCATCTTTATTATCTTCTTCCATCTTCTCATCTTCTTTGTTAATTGCTTCTTCTTTTTTCTCGTCTTTGCTATCTTCTTCCATCTTCTCATCTTCTTTTTTCTCTTCTTCTTGGTTAACTTCTTCTTTCTCATCTTTGTTCTCTTCTTCCATCTTCTCATCTTCTTTGTTAATTTCTTCTTCCTTTTTCTCATCTTTGTTATTTTCTTCTATCTTCTCATCTTCTTGATTCTCAGCTTTGCTAATTTCTTCTATCTTCTCATCTTCTTTGTTAACCTCTTCTATCTCATCTTCTTTGTTCTCATGTTCTTTTTCCTCTTCCTTTTTCTTGTGTGGTGTATACAACTCATCAGGCAAAGTAAGAGGCACAACCGATTCATAAAGATCTTCATGTTTTTGAGCCAACCGTTTGATGATTATCAAGCAAAGATCACAGATTGCATACGAGTTCTGAAAATGCAAAAAACTTTAGAAATCTAAAATGAAAACACAGATAATTTAGCTTTCAAGCATCTTTTTTTCTTGTAGGTGACTATTATTAGTATATCTATGTAAATATTTTAGTTAAGATATTGCCTTGAGTTACACATCACAACTACAATAACAAGGAATTCTACCTTTGACATGTTTGTATCTACAGCATCTTTTGAGAACTTGATAGTTCGAAGAACAGAAATTATCGAAATTACATCTTCCTGTTTTAGCCCTACTCCAGGCTTGCCATCTTCATTTCCTGCTGCTAATTTAGAAAAATATATATACAATTTCCTGTAGAAAAATATCAGAAAAAGAAAACATATTATCACTGTATCATCAAATTTTGAGTTTACTTAATTTCCAGCATGGTAAAGAATGCCATAGTTGCATTTACATGAATAGTTTAAAGAATCCCATTTGGAGCCCTAAATTACCTGAATATAGGTTCATATGCTTTGACATCTTTGCATTCATCAATGTTTGGACATGAAGGATGATGAGCAAGTGCATGGATCAAGTAGGGAAGAATGTACACTGAGGAATTCCCATTGGCCTTCCATTGCTCACACATCTCAAGGATTTCACTAAAACTTTGATTTTCCTATCAAAGTTACAATTCCAGATATCAGTGAAGGATTCAAAGCAAGAAACAGCAATGTTCTTTCATCTATAAGAAACTTGAAATGGATTCATCAAGGGTAACTTTAAATTTTAAATACCTCTTCCCGAATAGGTTTCTGTAATCTGAAATCTAACAAGAAAGCACAAACATATTTGGGATCCAAACTCCTATTCTTTATGTACTGATGTACTTTTTTGAGAAATAGTTTCCTAACTTGAGGAAATCTAGCCTGCATACATCATAAAAATAGGCAATCAATAAGCAATTCAAGAAGAAGAAAAACATAGCAATCTAAAGTATTTTTGTTTACCTCTGATGTTCTCAAGGTGAGGTGAAATAGATCAACTGGAATCTTTTTATCCCAATGTTTTGACAGACGAATAATTGCCTTAGCTGAAGCTAGCTTCAAATGGGCCTTATCAACAGAACTTATGGAAATGAAACAAAAAGGTAATAACATTAAAAATGTGTGCTTACATAACATGACAATGACATAAATATAACAAAAGATACCTTGATTCCACATCTTTTGAGATTTCTCCAAAAGAAAGTATATGATGGAGATCTTTTAAAAGTTCATCAATACCAACACGAAGATGTGCATCTTTCACAGGCAGATAGCTTTTCACCAGAGTTTTAATGCCAAATATCTACAACAAAACATTAGAAACTTATAAGTTCAATTAAAGGGTAAAATCTTCCATCAAAAAACACTAAATATAGACTTTATGCCCAGTAAACAACCTTTAATGAACAAAGTCCGCTTTTGTTATCCCAAGATTTTTTCGCCTTATTTACTGGTTTCTGAACATCATGAAGCAAAATTCAACATTATTTTAAACATATCAAATAAGAAGATATAAGATAGCAAGTGGATTGTGTCTCATACATGATTGCAACTTAAGATATTTTTTCTAATAAATTCTTCAATTTTACTCTCTTGTGTTTCAAAAACCGGCATGGCAGTCTGTGCTATACACCCCAAAGACTGTAGCACAGAGGGCAAATTCGTCCTTTTCTCTAGCTCATTCACTAGTCGCTGCACATCATTTGAGAAGAATCAAACACAAATAAATCATCAAAGACATAAATAAATGAAGTCAAACATGACATATCATTATCAAGTCAACCTTATATAGAACCGAAAGTGACTTGACCACATCATCTTTTGTTATAGCCACCAATGCATGTACAGCATACTTAGCCTGCTTCCTACTACCTTCTAAACATATTCTTTCAAGTATAAGGTCTAATCTACTGCATAAAAGAATAAAAAACAAATCAGATAGATAATTTAAAAAATCATAGAACAATTTATCATAAAGTCATTAGCAAAACCTAGATGAATCTCCCAATTGTTCTCGAATTGTTTCACCAGTCTTTGCAAGAACATGCAAAACACCATCTTTGATTGCCTCATCATCATAATCTTCTAGAAGATGCACCAAATCTTCTTCTATCCCACTTAGCAGCAAAGGACTGAAGCTTGAAAGGATCTGAATATTCATCAGAAAGATATGTAAAGATGTTTAGAAGAAGTAAAAAAAAAAAAAAAAAAAAACAGGAAGTTATATGAAACAGCAGTAAATTGTAATTTTTACCACAAGTAGATTCATGCAAGATTGAATTAACAATTTGTTCCCATCAGATTTCTGTTGTTCAGTCTCTAGAAGAAGATTTTTGACAAAGTCCTTGTCAAAGATTATGTATGAGCTTTTGATAAAAAGAGTGCTTAGAAGTTCATAAAGTGGATGCTTCTCATCAACTATCTTAAACAACTCATCCTGCAAAACAATAAATTTGTTACCAATTTATCAAATTCACAAGAAATAGCAATGTAGTTGTTTATTATAGGATCCTACTTTTGTCTCTTTTTATTACAGTGTTGTAATTTCACTATCTTTTTCTTATTATAAAGATACAAAGAAATATAAAAATCAATGAAACTATGTTGCTATTTCTTGCATTTTATATAATTACTTCAAGCTAGTTTCTTACCCTAAGGCTCCTACTTTGAAGAGAACTAGTGTTGGGATCCATTAATGTTGTCAAGATCTTCCATATGTTATCATCTTTTAATTGATTAAGAATCTGAAAATCTGCTTCTGCTTTTATGGGATCAGCTAAACAGTGGGACATGAAGCGGATACAAACAGTGGTTTTCTTCTGGAGCTCTGAAGCATCACTGTCCTGCAAATTCCAAAAGGGTATTTTTGACTTTTAGCAGCATACACGTGGCAAATTCTCCTGCCTCCTTTAGCAAGTTATGAATAACAAACCTTATATGTCTCCCTGAGTGAAAGATACTTTCGCAACTCTAGTTGTAACCTGCAATCCAAGTGGAAATCACCTGAAAATTAGTGCAAAGATGTATTTTTAACAAACTAAAACAGGAAAAAAAAAAAGTAATCCCATTTGGAGTTACAAATATGCATAAATAAGACATTCACAAACCTTTGCCTTTCCTCCAGTATCTTCTCTAAAGCATTCACCTCAACTTTATCAAATTTTGAAAATAGTTTGACCCAGTTTTTGACCTTATCTTTGACCGAAAGCTCAACTGGGAAGAGGGATGAGGATAGAATGTGCTCAATTGTGTTTGGTCTGGAAATCGAAAAAATTCAGAGTTCAAAACTGTAATCTTGAAGAAGAAAATACTTCAATTCCATCCAAAAAATATAAAACCATAACATATTACATAAACATACCCGAAATCTTTGTCAAAGAAACTTCTTAAAATTCTTCCAGGAATCCAATCATAGTCATGATTCACATTCAAACCACCAATTTTCTTCAAACACCAAGTTCTATATATATCTGAAAGCCTCTCTAGGGTATAGTTTTTCACAAGAACCTATATCAAGAATATTGGTTACGATAAAGGCAGATATAACATAAATAGGAACACCATAACATAGATGCTAGTGAGATAGATAACAGAAAGGTGTTTTTACAGATTTGTCCTCAAGGTGCTCAGCTAGAAGCTTTATGGTTTCAGGTGAAATGGATGATAAATCCAGAGATGCTACATCTGAAATTACTGCAATCACTTGTTTGCGTATACTTTCATCATCATCTGACAACTTGTCACTTAGGGAAGCTAACATGTTCAACCAAAGCAATAACAGGGTTAAATGTGAAACATAGCAATGTAATAATTATCAAAGTAGTTAGTTTTTTCTTGCATTTAGCCATATGAGATATTAAATAACCTGAAGACTTACCAAGTAATTGAGGAGCTTCTGTTCTTAAAGGATCAGATAATAAACATAGCTTGGCATATTCAACAACTGACATCCGGACTTCAACAACTTTATCATTAAATTTCTTCAAAAACTCCAAAAAGATTGGATGAAATGTCTGAGGGATGGAAGATCCTTTGATAGAAAAAAGGTCTCCCACCAGTTTGACTGCCTTTAAACGAAGGTCTATTTTATCTGTCTATAAAACATAAATACCAACATTTAGCTTTACCTTTACTTGCAAAAAATGAACCAAATAAGTATAACTTAGCAAAGATATACAAAACATTATGTGATTAGTGATTACCAGTAGCTCTCTTTTAAGGTTTGGGACAATTTTTGATAAGGCCTGAGGGGCACAACGGTAAATATCATAGATAACTTCATGGTAATCAATTTGAGGATTCGAAGAACTGTTATCTCCTGACATTGATGATAAAATAAACTTCTTAATTCCAGGTTCAAGTATTCCAGCACTTTGCTTTATAACATTCATGGCAAGCATCCTTGCAGCTGCAGTTATATCCTATAATCAAGTTCAAAATTTTACCACTCAGACATCTTGTACATTTGACTAGTCAGAGAATACATTAACAAATAAACAATAAAAGTATAAAAGTATAAAAGAATCTTACGTTCTTATCACGGCCTAAAGTAGATAGAATAATGGATAAAAGATCCTCCCCAATTTCCTCACTTTCTTCAAGAAGAACAGCCATGATTGTTTCCATTGCTGTGATAACAGTTTCATGATGCTCATCACTGTATGTAATAAAACAGAAGTCAGGATATTATTGTGACACAATCATTCATTCCACTTATTATAGGAGTTTAATATAAGTTATACAACTGACCTGGCAACAGTGAAAAATGTTTTGAACATTTCGTTGATTAAATCATCACATTCAAGATCCAACATCACAACAAATGATCTATACTTAGCAACAGTGTCCAACACAATTACTCTTCTCTCAAAAGATGGATCTTTGGTATCTCTTAACCCATTGAAGGTGCTTACATACAAATGAAAGATGTCCTTTAAAACATCATCATCATATGGTGCTTCAGGAGCTGTAATTCTGGTAATCTCACAAGTACAAATTGCAACAAGAAGTGAAACTTCTTTGTCTTCATGCTTTAGCAATTCTGGCTTGACTATAGCATTCAGAAGAGGCTGCATAGAGTCCAATAATGCTTTTGGTGGTGATTGATCCAACTCAGAGAGAGATTCTGTGGCTTGCTGCAATTAGACCATATAAACCCATTGACATAAAATTAGTCAAGAATTACATGAATTCATTATAGAAAGATGTTAATCACAGGAAAAAGGAGATTTTACAATAAATTGAACTGCTAAAACTATAGAGAAATTTAGTGTATAATTTTAATCCTTGGTTTTAACTTCTAGAACGTTCTTGCATTTCTAGGGTTTGGGTTTAAGTTACATTAATTTAATACTATAGTTTGGTGCACCACTCTGCTTTTGATGCGCTTTGAATATTCCTAGTAGAACTTATGTCCCGTTCAAATTGAGCCCTAATTCTAACCACTTGAAGAAGCCCTCTTCTTGGGGAAAAACAAACGTTGTTTTCTCAATAACAATTCACAATAATGAACTTAAAAAGCTCTAAAACCCAGAGGAAATCATCATATCAGGAACCCATAAAGGAAAATCTGAAAATAGGAACTTTGAGGTGCAATTCGCGAGTATAAATGATAAAGTAATTACTTTTTCAAACCAACTATAAAAATTGCCGGTTCCTTCAAGCTGAACCCTAACTTCAAAGAAATACATACAAGATTTGCAAAAAAAAACACATGAACTTTCCCCAAGATGCATAATTTATTCACCGAGTACTGAGCAATAAAGCTACTGAAACAAAGAAAAATCACTATCTGAAAAACGCAGAAAGTAAATTCCTTAAAAATTGAAACACTGCAAGTGAAAAACGCAAGTTTATTACCAACCGAAATTCAAAATGATAAGGTAACTGAACTACAAAATGTAAAAACGAATAATTATACGAAGAACCCAGGATTAAGATTTTTCAGAAGTTCAAATTTGTGAGTGCAACGAGTGAGCAAGTACCGAAAGAAGCTTGATAAGATCATCTTTACTAGCGGCTGGGTTCTCGAGCTTGGATCCAACTTCCTTGAGCTGATTTTGAAGATTTTCAGCCATGTTTTTTTCTTCAGAACTCTGTTTGGCGTTTAAATTTGGTTTTTAAATCGCCATCTAGAAGACCTGTGAATGATGGAACGAAAAGGGGGGTTTCGAACCAGGATGCGAAACCAACGCACCTTTTAAGTCTTTAACTCGACGCTGCCTGAAGACTGAACTATGAAGTATGTGAATTTTTTAAACCCCGTTTTTTTGAGGACGACTTCAGAGCTATCTTGATTAATAATAAAATAATAAATAAAAAGAGAAAAATAGAAAAAAGTTTTATACAAAAATATTGATAATAGAAATATAGTATAATCATTATAATATGAATATTATTAATATTATAAAGGTGGAAGTAAGTATAATAAAAGTACATAATGAACATAATTTTTGTCGAATGATGGATTTTTTAAGGAAGTGGACATTAAATTTCTACTGTTTGAGCTTTGAAGGAAATTAATGAACCCCTATAAGAAAATAAAACGGAACAAAATGTAAAACATGTCCGAATTAGTGATTTTGTTTGGATTTCAATAAATCAAATTCTTAGATTTAATGTTACGATCCCACATCGCCCAAATGAAAGTTTGATCGTGACTTTTAAGTTTAGGTGTCTCCTCCTCTTTTAGGCCAGTTTTTAGGAGTAAGTTCTATATTTGGACTTATGTCATCATACGGGCCTACTATGGGATGGGTTCATATCATTTATCATTAGGACGAGTCGGAAAAAAAAACTCATAGGCCCTAACGTGTAACAACTTAAATTATATAAACTAAAGTAATAAATAACCGATAAAATATCAACTTCACAAATCACAGTAGAAATGTAATAAATAACTAATATCTTTTTATCTACAAGATTCTCTTATTTTGTGATTATTGGAGAGCATTTAAGATATTTAACTAATAATCAAAACATTTTTTAATCTCCTTTATTGATATATGTAACCTTAGAACAAAGTTAATGCTCTTCTAAACAATCAGACAGCCAATAAAAACTTATTTTCAAATAAACATGTATAAACATCACAGACACTATAATACTTTATTTAGGAACACACAAACTTTAGAAACTAAAAACATTCATCCCATCACACCATCATATTGACAAAATACATCATTAATTATACATTCCAGCTGTCTAGGGTGTCCAATAGCTACTTTTTGCATCCATATTTATGCATCAAAAAAGTTTCACTACATAGAGTTGTAGACATGTAAGAGATGATCAAGCATGTCTTTGAAAAAAAAATTATACATATTATAGGGAGAAATATTATAGGAAGAAACAACAAGAGCAAAACCCATGTCAACCAATTTCTATATAGGAAAAAAAAAGGTTGAAAACAGATTAATTAATGTCTATGAAAAGTACTTCCTTTGGTATCAATATTTGTGTATACAGGCTTTTCATTTCTAACACCTATCATATTATATAATAAATTCCTTAATCTTCTCTTTATAAGCACTTCCAAGCATCAGCTGACTTTTTTTCTTGACAAACCTAGCTATTTATTGCTTGATTTGCAAACTAGTAACTACAAAACTATATTTTTTATTAGTAACTGTTGGAGAAAAAGCAAAGAAACTATAAGTCGAGATCTATACATTCTTCATTCTTTGAAGGTAAATATCCTTCCAACTTTTCCAACTCCTTTATAAATATATTGCCTAGCTACCGAAGTTTAATCACATGTCCTTAAATTTCTAAACACTCACATCTAACGGCGTATCTTTACATTAAAACTGACATGAGGGTTTTTACATTCAAAAGGCTAAAAGTTATTCAATAACGAGTTAGTAAAAATTGAACACAAAACCGTTTCTTGTAAAAAAAAGATGAGGTTCCATAACTTGTGTGAATGTCTGAATGAATGATCAATTAGCTGATTAGCAGGATTGCAGGAGTGGACGACTGGTAATCGGTCGTCGTATGATCGTTAATCGACTCTCGCTTGAAGCCTTGAATAATCGTGTTTGTCTTTGCCTTTGTGTGTGGACCGATCAATTAGAGGAATTCGTGGATATAATATAAAAAAAAAAAAAAAAAGATGTGCCCCTGAAACTTTTGGGCCGTGGGCACATGTCCACCTTGCCCTCCCTTATAATCGGGCATGTTTATCATCATTAAGGTCTCTTGATTTCGGTGTTTTAACATTTTTATTTGTATGTAATATAAATTGGTTTTTTTATTTTTATTTTTATTATTTTATAATAATAAATGTATCGTTTATTGGTGCGACACAAATGTTTATGTATTTATATATGTTAGAGTCTTCTATTTCTTCGTAAGGTTTTTTTTAGAGATACAATTTTAGAATCTACATATATCTTATATGGGATTAGAGTCAGCGTCCACATTCATGTAGCTTAACACATTCTTATATGACCTCATCGAACCTCAATCTTTGATGAGGACTATTAGTATATCATACATCGATGTGATACAATCTCTTATATCTATATTGAAGTATCAAGTATCATAAAAACAATTTTGGACTCATACATATATTTTACTAAAAAAATTATGAAATTTGTACCAATACATATTCAATAAAGCATAAACAATTGTCATTTTTATAACTAAACTACATATATGGTCAAACAAGCATCACCAATTATTTCAAACGAATGTAGTCTTCTTACCGACCACAAGATCGAAAAACAGGATACGTATCACTAAAATTTGTATAAATACATATATTCAATAAAGCCTAACCAATTGTCATTTTTATAATTAAACCACATCTATGATCAACCAAGCATGGTCAACCATCCTAAACTAACGTAGTCTTCTTACAAGTACAAGGTCGACCAATAAGGAATATGTGTATGTTATTAATGAACATATAAACTTTTAAGAACAAAATCAGTAGATAATGTTGTGAATTAATTAGACAAGTTGTTAAAACATATATAGATTGTGTAAAGTTTAGAGAATACAACTAAATAACTTGATATTTAATATTTTGAATTAATTATTGAATTGTCAAAATATCAAACAAACGATTAAATAATAAATATTGATGATTGTTAGGGCGAAGATCCTCAACCCTATTCAGGATCCCGAACTAATCTCATGATTATAACATCCCAAAAATCACAATAAAATTTTTCATTTTTATTTAAAGAGAAATCATTGTTTTCAATCAAATCCAAGTCATAAGAACCCAAGATCAAGTACAAATGTTCCAAAATCAATGTATCGTAACATCTCCAAAACATGTCACCGAAGGATGTGTACGATCACGCCTTTGTTTTTTCCTGATCATCTGAAGTACCTCAAACATAAAACTTAAGTTGTAAGTCAAAGCTTACTGAGTTTCCCCAAAGTATCACACACAGCCAACAGATAACAGCATGCAAATATAAGCATTCAGCCTGACTTGACCGCCTCGCAGGGCCTATAGCCTATCTGGACCGCTCTCCGGGCCTTCGGTCTGACTGGTCCGCCTCTCGGGCCTTCAGCCTATCCGGACCGCCCCGGGTATCTTGGCCTTCAGCACAAAGTACGACTGCCTCAACCCAACAAACCATATCATGTCGACATATATAATAACAATCAATAACCAACAAATATATATAATAAGGTTGATCTACCAATCTAGCACATACTTGGTAAACACAGGTAATCATACAGATCTACCAGCCTATCGCATAACCAACACAACATCAATCCAATATACCTGGATACATGATCCAGTGGGCCGGCATTGGTGCCTTCGACCCACAAGTACAGTGAGGACAAAAAACCTCACAGTCTGAAATGTTGCTGAACATATCACTACTCCAACTGCTGACTTTACTGGTCACCTAAACAATAAACAATTACCTAAACTCAAACTACTACTCGAAATATCCCAAATGTCCAAAGTCAAACTTGGTCAAAGTCAACGATCAACGGTCAAAAGTCAAAGTCAACTACAGCTGGTCGCCACGTTGTAGCCATCCCTGGCCACATCGTGGCAACAAAACGACAAAACAGTCGGCTCTAACCCAATCGACACGTCGTGGCGACCTAAGGCAACGCTGTGGGCACTGGGTTCCAAACAACTTAATTGGTTAAGTCGTTTTCTTCGATTCTAAGAGCTCCACAAATCAGATCTGGTCCATTCCATGGTCTAAATGCATGTCTTGAACACGTCGTGGCCATTCCAACCTTATCCCTTAAGACCTTCCATGAGGCAAAGATCTCACCCTTAGGTCCAAAAGGGATGAAAACACATCATGGCTTAATCATTAAGCACTTAATCTTGAAGATGTGACACCCGTTCCAGGTATCATCTAATTTTTCCAAGTTTTAGGGTTTTATGCTAGGACTCGACGAGTTGGGGAGCTCCAACTCATCGAGTAGAGATCATTTATGAGGATGCGGGATTTAGATCCTACTCGACCGGTCACCTAAACAATAAACAATTACCCAAACTCAAACTACTACTCGAAATATCCCAAATGTCCAAAGTCAAACTTGGTCAAAGTCAACGATCAACGGTCAAAAGTCAAAGTCAACTACAGCTGGTCGCCACGTTGTAGCCATCCCTGGCCACATCGTGGCAACAAAACGAAAAAACAGTCGGCTCTAACCCAATCGACACGTTGTGGCGACCTAAGGCAACGCTGTGGGCACTGGGTTCCAAACAACTTAATTGGTTAAGTCGTTTTCTTCGATTCTAAGAGCTCCACAAATCAGATCTGGTCCATTCCATGGTCTAAATGCATGTCTTGAACACGTCGTGGCCATTCCAACCTTATCCCTTAAGACCTTCCATGAGGCAAAGATCTCACCCTTAGGTCCAAAAGGGATGAAAACACATCATGGCTTAATCATTAAGCACTTAATCTTGAAGATGTGACACCCGTTCCAGGTATCATCTAATTTTTCCAAGTTTTAGGGTTTTATGCTAGGACTCGACGAGTTGGGGAGCTCCAACTCATCGAGTAGAGATCATTTATGAGGACGCGGGATTTAGATCCTACTCGACGAGTCGGAAGGCCCCGACTCGACGAGTAGGCGCTGTAAAGGAAAACCCTAATTTTTAGGGTTTGCACCTTATATAAAGGACTTAATCCGACTCTTGTGGCCTCCCTTACCACTTCATTACCTAGAGAAGAAACCCTAGCCGTTCTTTGTTGCTTCCTTGTGCTTGAGAGGCTAAG